TACCGGGTCTCTTTTGGGGGGTCGCTGCGGAGTGAAAATTATTTGGGGACATGGGGTGGAGCCCTTCCTGTCGCTTGACTGGGCATAGGTGACCGTGGTGCCCCTGACCAAGTCAGAGAGCCCTGCTCTTTGGTAGTGAATTAGAGGCGATTTTTTTCTCGGGGCACAATCCCCTCCTCTCCCTTCACCTGGGGCATCACAGCCTGGTGGTTGATCTGTGACCCGAGACCTTCAGGGTTAAAACTCCAGGCTCATGCTTTCTCAGGTACTTCCTGGGGGTGGAGTGGGGGGTGGGGGTGGGGTGGAGAAGACCCGCTGTGTTCTTCCTCAGAGTTTCCCTAGGGGGTACCCTTTCCCTCTGCCAGGTTGGGCAGTGGGAAGTGGCAGTGGCAAGCATTTCTAGAGAGAGCCCCTTGCGTTTGCTAGGTGGCCAGGAAGTGGCCATTGAGGTCAGGGTTTAGTGTGCTGGGGATGGAAGAAAAAGTCACCCTGGCTTTGGCAGGGGAACTCACAAGTTCTCTCCTGGAAGTCGCTTTAATTCTTTGCTTTACCTGAGGCTGGTTACATATTCCCCACCATCTGCATGGCTCTGGTGCTTTTGGAATAATTTCATATTGGGTCATACAATTGTGGGAGAAACTGAGGGGTTATGACCTTTCCAAGGCGCCAGTGTATGAGCAGTAGCCATTGTTTTGCCCCTGGCCTGTAGGTCCCAGGAAGGTGGACTAGTAGTGATCTGTCGTTTGTTAACAAGTGTGGCAGGCATTTGGGGGCGGAATAGGCACACGCTGTGGAAACCTTACGGAATGTCTTCCTTGCATTCACTGGTGCTGCTGCAGTTCCCAAGACAGAACTACCAGAGAATCAAGCCAGTAATGTGAAAAGTAGCGTGTAGGTGTCTTGTGCATCTTTTTTGCCCAGCCAGTGCCTGATTGGTTGACCCCCACATACTTGCATACCCAAAATCTCAGAGGCAGAGGCTGAGGTGTTAGCGCTGGTTGGTACTGCTGCTAGGGGAACTTTGGGATTGGGCAAGTGGTCACCATCAGTAGAGGAGGTGGACCAGTGACCGAGGGGTCCAGGGTTCTTCAGGGGCTCCTCTGAAGGGCTCTCTGAGGAGAGGAGGAAGGGGCTGGGGAAGTAACAGACCTTCGTTGAACGTATTTTAGCATGTGCAAAGATGACATACTGACCTGTGGTTCCTTTCCGGTCCTCTCTGGTGGTAGGTATGGTGGCCCAGGGTGGTGTAGTGCTGAACATGCATGGCTGTTAGTCAAAGGGTTGGGAGTTTGAGTCCATCCAGACGAGCCTGGGAAGAAAGCCGTGGCATTCTTCCCTAGACTCATCCAGAGAACCCTCTGGAACAGAGTGTGTGCTCCGACACACATGGGGGAGGGGAGTGGCAAGAATCTGAACAGACTCCTTGACGACTGTTAGTGACAGGGGTGTGCTCAGAGTCCTGCTGAAATGGGGGCAGGGGTGGGTGGGATGGATCGGGAACTTGTGTCTCTGAAGTCATGGTATCTTAGATGCTGCCCTATCAGTGGTCTTCTGTGGTCATGTTCACACGCCGTTGGACAGGAGCCTCGCTTTCAGTAACCACGGAGTAGGAACCTCGGCCTCGTGGCAGGCTAGGGTTGGGGGGTGGCTTAGGCCTCGGTGCATCTGGAGCTGGTGTGGCTCAGGTGTGTGTGGGGGTTCTCCTCTCTGAGGCCTTACTGGCCTGCGGCTGCCCTCCTGTACCTCGCCCAATCAGGAGCCTCAGTTCTGAATGGTTGGTTGACATATTTAAGATCCTCATGGAAGGAGAAAATATCGGGGACAGTGAAGAAAGAGGCAACACTAAAATTAAAACTCCTCCAAGAGAAGTGGTAGAACGGTGTGCAGCTCCGGGTTTACCTTTGTGGGTGCACCGTTTTGGGGAACATACAGATGATACTTTTGCTGGAAGCAGCAGTTCGGCCACCAACCTGATACGCTCAAGTACCTGCAAAGTTGGAGCAGCCTCACCAAGTAACAGGAATAGTTGCCGAGATCCAGCCCCTGCAGCCTTGGATGTCTACAGCAACAGGTCTGCGGGTTAATCATTTCTGCCAGGTCAGCAGTAACGTAAACCCTTTGTACACCTTTCTCAGGACCCGCCAAGGCTTCATCCTGCGGATGTGTGTGCTGGCCCAGCAGATGGGAGTCTCCCTCTTGGAGTCTGCATGCAGCACACACAGTTGTGCAGGAGACTGTGTGTGCCTGCCTGAGCACACCCTGTCTCCTGGGTGCGTGTTCAGGGTACTGTGCTCCAGGCCCTTCTCCAGCCCTGAGGCTGGAGCGCTGCCTGTAACCTGGGGATCGCTGACTGCCCAGAAGTTCTGTTGTGAAGGGGGCTAATGCCAAACTCGGAGGGCCTGCCCTGGAAGCTGGAGGAAGACAGATGTTCGAGGGTCTCACGTTTTAGAGACGTCTGACTGAGACAGGAAATCACAGCCCCGGGCAGGCTTGACCAGTGCCAGGTGAGCACCCTGTGTGTCCCCAGCAGGGAGAAGCTGAGGAGGGCAGTGAACTAGTCATGGGCATCTATGTTTGGGCCTGCCCTGGTCAGATTCTCCACTAGGAACTCCTCAGTTGCTGGCTTGGGGGATTTGGTTTGGTGTTCCCCTCACTGTTGTGTAGGCCATTACATAAGGTATCTAAGGTTATGTGGCGGCCACCTAGACATTACATGACTCTGGCCTCCTTGGGAAACCAGAACAGGTCCCTGAGAGGTGGTTCTGGGTTTGCCTGGTCCTTGTTTCTCAGGCTTCTCTTGGCCATAGAAAGTCATCTGGTGGCTGTGGGGCCTCTGCAGAGGGTCACACACAAGAAGGGCCTCCTCCCATGGCTGATCACTGGCCCCAGGTCTGAAAGTGGGGTCGGGGGTGGATGCAGTATCTTTGTGAAACTGTCCGTGCTGAGCAGAGGTGTGCCTGTGAGCTGTAGCCACTCAGCCCTCTAACAAAGTCGCCTTGCTCCACCGCCCTGCAAAAGGAGCTGGGGCAGTGTCAAGCTCACCTTGGTAGGTGCAAACAGCATTGTGATTGTATTGTTAGGGGCTGTTGGGTGGGTCACTGACTCCTGGTCTTCTCGTGGGTAAGCAGATTCAAATACTACTTGGTCCTATGCACCCCGATAATTGGTTTCGTATGGGGTCCAGAGGATTTTGCATTGGTTGATTTTTGGAAATTGATTGCCAGCTTTCTTCCCAGTTCCTCTTCATATAGAGCAATGGTTCTCAACCTTCTTAATGCGTGACCCTTTAATACAGTTCCTCATGTTGTGGTGACCGCCCCACATAAAATTATTTTCGGGTGGCTGGTGCCGGACTGAGGGGACGCTGCCGACCGAGTTCCGGCCCACGTCACCGACCGCCAAGTGGTGCGCTGAGAGCGTCGGAGCCAAGCCGGGCTGGTCAGGATGATCACGGACCTGCAGCTCGCCATCTTCGCCAACATGCTGGGTGTGTCGCTCTTCTTGCTTGTCGTCCTCTACCACTACGTGGCCGTCAACAATCCCAAGAAGCAGGACTGAAGCGGCGCGCTCAGCCCCAGGGTTCCAGGACCTAGTCTGAGGCAAGATGGAGGGTGTGAGGGCCTGCCCTCACCCTTCACTTCATCCCTTCTACCCATCACAACATACAAAGCAACTACACCTGGAGTTTTCCAAACAACTTTTATTTCCTCAAAGTTTTCCTTAACCCTTTGGAACAAGAAGCTGCCACTGAATATCAGGGCCCACTATAGGGGCTGCTGGATTTTCTACCCACCCCCTCAATATAATATAATATATATATATAATTTAAAAACATATATTTTCGTTGCTACTTCATAACTGTAATTTTGCTACTGTTATGCATCAGGCGACCCCTGTGAAAGGGTGGTTCGACCCACAAAGGGGTCGCCACCCACAGATTGAGAATGGCTGGTGTAGAGTCTGTTGAAACCTGTTCAACATCTTAGCAAAATGCAGTCTTCCATCACTAGATGGGTGCGGGCTGCACATGAGGTGTGACTGGGAATTGAACCCAGGCAGTAAGGGACCGTTGACTGGGTATCTCCTCTGGCCGGGAAGAGGATGAGTTGCTTTCATACTGCATGTTAATTGACTTACCCAAAGTTAGGGGTTATGCTAAGATGCTCTGGTGGCATAGTGGCTAACTGCAGGTCTGCAGTTCAAACCTACCAGATGCTCCCTGGGAGAAGAATGAGGCTTTCTGCTTCTATAAAGACTTATGTCTCAGAAACCCACAGGGTCATTATCATTCAGAATTGACTTGATGGCAGTGAGTTTTACATGACAGTGCTTATGACTGAACTACCGCAGGAGTAGCGCAGATGGTTAAGTATGTGACCACAAGCCAAAAGATTGACACCCCTTAGAGGTACCTTGGAAGAAAAACCTGACAACCGCAATGGGCTCGAAGGCGATTAAACCAGCAGCAAGCATTACTCACTACCCATTGTTGATGAAAGAATGGGGGGGCAGCCGCAGAAAAAGTGCCAGGGGAAGCTCGCTGGTGCCGGAACCTCTTGTCATGTCGTGTCTGTCCCCCCACCCCCAGCCCCCTCACCCTCCACACACATTTTGGGAAGTTACTGCTTGGGTGAGACCAGCCCATGGCAGAGCTGACAGGTTGGCCCGTCCCTAAGCAGCCTTAGCCATCTGTCCTGCACAGGCTCTTTGGCCTGATGGTGTGGGGACTGGCACTGATGGGGGCTTTCATGGCTCTAACTTCATCATTTGGGAAACAAGCTTAGAATGCCTTTGATCCAGCCACAAAGAAGAGTTTTCTGAATTGCAGACCTGACTAGAGTGACCCACTGCTGCTCTGTCATTCTGGTGCCTAGCTGGCCTCCAAGACAGAGTGAACTGCCCCCTGGGGTCTCCAAGGTGAGAAGCCTTCAAGGAAGTGGACTGCTGCCACTTTTTCCCACAGGCTGGAAGGTTGGAACCAGTGGCCTTTTAGTTAGCACAGCCACCAGGTGTCTTGTGTGGAGTGGGAGATTGGAAAGCTAAATGTGTGTGGCCCTGCCTCAGTGCACCAGTAGCCCAACTGGGGCCTTTCCGGTTTCCGTCTTTGTAACTGCACAGTGCAGAGGCAGGCAGGGAGAGGGTGTGTCCTTTTATGACTCTGGGAAAAGGGTTGGGAGCGAGTGTTGGCTGTGCAGCAGGTGTCATTCCTTGGGTGTGACTCACTGTCTTGCACAGAAGGTGGACGTTGTGCTCTGCATGCGGACGACTTGAGGTGGCCCCCTGCGAGGTCATTGTGGTAGATTGTGTCATTCTGGGCGGCCGGCAGCATCACCAGGGGCTATTGGCCGTTGCCCTTGGGAGAGACTCGTCCCTGATAAAGATGGGAAAGGGTATGCGTGGTCACGGGTCCCTGGGTGGGAGGTTCAGGTGTGGTAGGTAGAACACTGATGTTGAGGCCAAGTGGAGGGGCTGTGTGCCCTTGTCCTGCTTCTGGTGCCCAAGGCACATCTCAGAGTGCTTGCACCTGTGCCCACTGGGGACCCCAACACCAAGAGTCACCAGAGTGATAGTGGTGCAGCCATGACTGTGTGGGAAGTGCTTATTCAACCTGGCTTGACTTTTACCTTGCCCGGAGCAGCCTTCTGAAATGGTGATTTTTTTTTCTTGGTGGGGGTGGGGGGTTGCACGTGTGCTCACAACAACACACGCACCTGGAGCTGCCTTCAAACTTGCCCTTGGGTGCAGCTCCTTCCCCGTCAGCAGTGACATCCTGTGCATGGAAGAAGGTGAGTGAGCTGGGAGAGGCAGTTGGGTAAATCCTTTCAGCAAGTGCTTCTTCTGCTGGGGTGGAGGAGGCAGACTGGAAGCTGCCTGGCAGGGCTTGGAGTCTGCAGGGAGGAGCCAGCCCCAGGACTGGAGCTGAGTGCTTGGACAGAGATGGCTCAGGTGTGGCCCCCCATTGGGTGTACAGCTCTTAATGCAAACAGCAGTTCTTTGTGTGCTTTATTTCAAGATGGTTTAGAATTTTTTGGAGCAGGGAACTACAGTCTAGAATATCGATTGTACACAATGAAAATGTGTGTCGGCAGGTGCAAAGAGTCAGATCTTGGTTTGACTGATGAGGGAGGGGCCCAGTTTCCAATCATGGCTCCTGGATTCATTCGTGCCTGAGTAGGACTGCTCCACACGGTTTTACTGACTGGTCTTTCAGACCTTTCTTCTGAGGAGCCCTTGGGTAGACTGGAACCTCCACGCTTTCTGTTGAGCATGTTCACTGTTTGCACCAGCCAGGGCCTCCTGGGGGCGGGGTGGGGTGGGGTGCAGAGCTTAAAAGCAGGAATGGCCAGAGGGACCCTCAACAGTTGCCTGTAGACCAGGTGATGGGAGTGGAGGGAGCAGAGTCTGTCTGTGGGGTAGGAGGAAGGGGGGTGGGGTGGGGTAGAACACTGCCATTCAGTTTGGGTCAGGTTTGGAAGGGCAGCCCTGGCTCCTCTGAGGAAGGTTCTTGATTGTCGTGGGAGTCGTCTTAAGGCAGACCACTGGGCCCTCAGATAAGTGACTTTCACATTTTTGGTACTTCTGTGTATAATGTGTTAAAAAGAGGGTGTTGTGCCAGGTGCCACATTGGAACCTGCATACTAGAGACTGCATCAGAGTCCCTAGGGTGGCGGCAACACTCTTGGGTGTACCCCCTGGAAGGCATTGCCAGAAGATCCCTGGGATGAGGTGGGTGCTGTTCCCACGTGGTGGCTGGGAGGATCACAGACCGAGCTCGTGCTGTAGGTCAGGTGTGGCGTCCAAGCGGACATCTCCAACCTCTCCTGCGAACTGGGGCTCTGCTTCTCCAGGACGAGGAGAGATGAAGCCCTTTGTCCTGTGTCACAGTGGAGGGAGTGGTGCCCATAGATCTGCATGCAGACTGGCTGGCTTGGCGGTCCCTGTGGGTGTCAGACACTGCTAGGAGCTTCCTCCTAATGACCTAGTGACACTTGGACAATGGCATCAGGTGCTTAGGCTAACTGCTTTGAGACAATTCAAGGACAAAAGCTGTACCTAATGCAGCCATGCTCTTAGATGAAATGAAAATTTGTCATCCAAGCACCACCTACTGAACTCTGGGAGCTAACCTTTACCATCTTGGATTCAAAACCCACTGTGCTCCCTGGGGAGCCCAACCGTCTTCATGGTGCTTCCTTTTCTGGGAGCCACCTCTGGTTCAGTCCAAGACCACCTGCAAGGGGACTATGTTTCTGGGGGTGCCATCACCGTGCCTCTCTTATCCTTTCCTCTACTGACACTCTGAGGGCTCCCACCCACCTGGACACTAGTGGGCCCTGAGCCGAGGCGAAGTGTTGAAGCAGCTTCTCAGACGTATTTACCTTACATGGGCACTCTATGTAAGTGGTGGAAGCAAGGACACTGAGGTGTGGAGAGTATGTGGCTGGAAGTGGTGACCCTGACTCTGGACGGCAGCCATCTTTACCTGCTGCCAGCTTGGCTGGAGAGGGTCTCTTTGCTCAGCTGAGAGAACAACTGTACTGGGTGGCAGGATGTAGCGGGGCCTTTCCTCGGGTGCAGAGTCTTGGCTCCCATTTGTGAACCATGACATTTGGCCCCAGAGACAGTGTCAAATGCCACTTTGATCATGGCCTGGCTCCCACAGCTCTGTGACCCCCAATGATGTTCACTGTTATGGTCTGCTGTAGGTGTGCTCTCTGGCCAGCTCACCATGCACACAGTGGCTTTAGAGATGGTTGGCCAATGCACAGTAGCTGCCCTTGGCCCTGAGCTGGGATCCTGAGTGTAAGTACTGTATGCGAGCATATCATCAGTAGAGTGACTGTGGCCCCTCCCCTCTTCATACCTTCCATAGGTCGCTCTTGTTTGGACCCCACTCCCACCTAGCACACCTGGAGCCTGGTCCATGCTCCCAGTTTGGATGTGGTCAGCCCCCCAACTGTTCCAGTCCAGCACCTGGCGCTGTCCTGTCTTTCTCGCTCTTGTGCGCACGTACACACATGGACTGATAGTGGGTGGGCATGGGTGGTGGTGACCTGGTGACTCTGGTAGAAGTGGACTGCCCTCTTGCTCTTAGATCCCCACTCTGCTGCCTGGCCAGGTGGCTGGTGGGTAGTGCTGACTTGCTGGCAGGTAGCACTGATGTGATGGTGAGTATTCCTAGCTGTTGCCCCAGGGTGCCAATGTGCAGACGTGGTTGGTGTGTGGCCTTCCAATGGCCCCACTTATAGGCACCTGCCCCCCTGCCCTTACTTGGTTGTGTCCCCAGCTCTCTGTCCAGTCTTACCCCACCCAAGAGGCAAGGGTGGGCTGTTCCCTGGGACAGCTGAATTTCTTCGGCTCCTCTTTGACTTCACATGAGGGAGGGCCAGGTCCTGCATAGAACATCTTCAGGAGAAGAAGGTGAAGGTGACTTTCCCAGAAGCCACCACAGCACACTCCTCATGCCTTCCCAAGGCCTTCAGTCTGGAGTGTTTGTTTCCCAAGACAGCCTCAGCACAGGGGGCTGCCTCAGGGACCACCAGGGCCTTGTTAGTAGGGAGGGTGGCCAGAGGAATGGTGACAAAGTCCCCTCACTGGTTGCAGACTGAAGAAATTCCAGGGTGAGCTGGTGCCGTCAACTCAGTTCTGACTTCGGAGCTCAAGTGCCCCATGGGGCTTTCTTGGCAGTGGTCCAATGG